AAAAAAAAAAAAAAAAGCAACTTGTGCAGCAACTACCCACACGGGTCTGTTTTCATGGAATGTGTTTAAATTTTATAGCCAAAGAATACTACTATAGTCTCACTAAACTTTAATTAGCCTACCCTGATGTAGCTCTTTCAGGTTTTTTGTCTTACAAACACAGGATGTGATCTTCTGCAATGTGCCAGATGACTACGCAGTTAACATAAATCCTACCTTAATCTAGCCAACAAATGCAGTCTTCAAGATAATAAAACAAGCTGGGCATTTTCTACTTTCTTTCAGAGTTTTTGTACCCCCAGAGGATGCAAGTATCTTGTCAATGATGGTCAGTGGGAGTTCTGTTTCTAAAATACTGTCAAAATTAAGTTTAATAAATTGAGCCTTAATATTTATTAAGAACTTTAACACTGAAGTAAAATTTGTAGGGCTGTTCAAAAATACAATGAAACTTTGAGAGCAAAATAATTACATATTGAAGTATTTAAAATGTTTTTGGAGGTCTTAATTAATGCTTTTTTAAAAAAGCTACTACCTAGGTTCTGAAATTAAGTTTTCTAGAAGCTAGTTCAATAAATTCAAAGCTTAAATGCTACTTTTGAGACTGAACCTTTATTTTTTTGAAAAACAGGTATTTCATACAATCTTTGCCATGTTAATGCAAATATGCACAAGGTAGGCATGTAGTTCTGTTTTCCAAAAGATGCATTATGAACATTTTCAGGAAGCTGGTGTGATTTATTCAACTTTTAATCTTAAATACAATCACAAAATTATATCCATCAGGAGGCATTACAACCTTTTGTACAGAGAAGCCACTATTTTATACAATGTTACTAGGACAAGGAAGATTTGGTTCAACTCAACTTGCTCTTATAATAGGGTAAAAAGTAAATTAACAAGTGAAGTATGATGTTATTGCCACTGACATTACAAGTGGAAATATAAGGGAAATTTAAACCAGAAAAATAACTGAAACAATAATTTTAAAAAGGAGCTGTAATTTCAATCAGGAAAAGGAAAAAAAAAAAAGAACAAATATAAAACAAGCCTGTTTTAAAAGAAAAACATTCTAAATAAATCTGCATTTCAAAACATGCAATTAAGTTTACCATCTTCAAAAATCAAACTAATTATATGACATTTTTATATTAGCACAATAAACAGCCAAATTCCCATGGAAAGCAGGGGACCCTAAGTGGTTCATGTCTTACATGGAAAAACCTTTGAGTCTATATAAAGCTTCTTTTGATCAACCAGTTTGCCCTTTTGCAAATAAGGATGGTGATATGGCTATCTAGGCCTAAAACAGGAAAAGTGCAACAAACCCGTAGGGTTTCATAATAAATTTCCTCCTCCCCAATGTTTGGAAAAATTTGTGATGCCTGCTAGTTTTTCTCCATGGGAGAACCTTTTTCTACTACCCAAATATTGAAAACAAAATCTACCATAAGTGACCCTTGCGTTAATAATTCTACCTCTTCAAGGGGGAGAGGGATTCCCTAACCTCTAAATTACTGGCATTTTACAAGCTCAATGACATATAAAATAGAACACTGGTTTTCACATTCATCTAATTTTATGTAAAACAAAAATGATGAAATGTGCTAAGAGTAAAGCATTCACTGGTACTCAGTATATAAGAACAGGAATAACAGGCTAACCGTAGGTGCTATAATATGGAGAAAATTGGGAGAAAAGAAGAACCAGCTCCTTTGATTTTAGTACTGCCAAAATGAGTATGCCCCCAGAGTTAGTTACAAAGATGTGGAGGAAAATAGGCTAGGAAGACTTTCCAATTTAAAGTACTGCCTATAATACCCCAGACCTAAGATTGCACATCAACTCCAATATTTGGCTGTACTAACACTGCCCTGGCTCGGCATTTTTTAAATGGCTCTTTCCTTGAATTTCACACATCAAAACAACCACAATTAAGGAAACAAAGAACAATGCACATAACACCAAACATTGGACAGTTTTAAGAAACTACTTACTAAGCTTAGGTAAATAGAGGCCAGTGTTAAGGGCAAAAGTGATGGAAGTTTTTCTTTGCATTATAAACCCTCACCCTAAATCTGGGGCTTGGGCTCTAAAAAAGCAATTCAGGGAAGCAGATCAAGAGCCTGATTATCAGTTCTCACACAGAAATCTCACGTATCTCAAAAACAACTCACAAGTATCAGACACAAAAGAATCTTAATCATCTAGCAAGCTATGTTAAGAACTCATGACCAGAAATAATGAGAAACTACAAGACACACCAACAAAACAAATAATAGAGAAATAGGTCCATATTCCTAAGCCTCCACACCTTTGTTGAGAAATCAACTAAAAACTTAGGCAATCCTAGCAAAACCAAAGACAATAAAACACTTACACTTTAATTTCCAAGGGTACTTTGAATGGAAGAGGGAGGTTGTAGGTTATTCAATACCCACTGAATCTTACAAGGAAGAAAGGGAGAGGGAAGAAGATACGGATAAAGGAGGAGATAAGTAAAGGACAAAGGGGTGAGATAGCAGAGGATCCCTGGTTTTCCACAGGTATCTTGTATTCTCAAAAATGTATGACTTCCTAACTACAGCACTCTCGATTATTTTACAAGCTTATCTCTAAAATATAGCCCTATCTTCTCATCTTCTCAACATAACTGATTAGGTCCCTTACAAGAGTTCAGAACATCCTAACTACAGCACTCTCGATTATTTTACAAGCTTATCTCTAAAATATAGCCCTATCTTCTCATCTCCTCAACATAACTGATTAGGTCCCTTACAAGAGTTCAGAATTCATCTTCTCAACCTAACTGATTAGGTCCCTTACAAGAGTTCAGAATGGCAAGGCTAACTTGCAGAGTGACATCTCGGAGGAAGCCAAACTCTACAGGCTAGCATCTTCTCCAGAGTGCAGGAAAGAGCAAGCTTTGAAGTCATCAGGGACTCTCATCTGCCCTATAGCCAAAAAATGCATGACATATGCTACCCTATTTTCTGAGGGACCGGTTTAAAGTAAAAGTGATGGATAATTTACCAGAGGCACATGGTTTTGAAATAAAGTTTTTTTTCCTTTGCTTGGAAAAGTGTGAGGTGCCTCTGAAGCCTGAAACTCTCAGACAGTAAAATCTGCCTGTTTACCAAAAAGGAAGCAATTTCTGAATACTACCTACAGGGATAACTAGTGTGAATTTGTTTCATTACTGTGATAAAAGTTTTTCCATGAGACAATAAAGAATGTTGCTAAAAATCTTCAGAAAGCAGAGGTAATAGAGTGATGAACACAACAGCTCCCACAGCCTCTAAGAAATAAAGCATTGTGCAAAAATACAATATGGCATTATTATTCCAGCTAGGTTGTTTTGATTGTGAAAATAAGGTTCAAAATGAATGAATAAAGTAAAATTTGATTCACTAGGCTCAACTTGCTTTTGGAAATATGAGCATTCAAAAATAACCACTTTTCTTGAAATGCTTGTAAAGTTATTAGAAAGCACTGGTACTGAAATGCATTCCCTCACCGGTATGTATAGATTTAACATGGCAATCAGAATACAGAAAAAGCCCAGTACTACCTGGAATTTTTCTTTAGCACAAGTTGGTCTATGAAGACAGGCAACTAAAAAGTGACCACTGTCCTAATCTCTAAAATGCAGGGAAATGGATTCAAATAATTAAGATTTTAATCATGCTGTATTTTGTGTTGATACGTGATTTGAAGGATCCTATTGTAGTCTGGATTTTTATTTTGGATCAACAATTTAGCTTACAAAGTCAGAACTTGAAATGCAATGCTAAATTTAAGGAAGTCTTGATCATGAATGTACTCTAATGTATTAATGAATGGCAAGCTATTAAAATTGTGCAAAAAGCAAAGCACTTTAGAGACTAATAATTGAACTTAATAATTAAGATGTTGGTGGTCCTCAATTTTGCTATTGTTTGATGTACATGTCCTAAAATGCCAGGTAAAGTAAAGCACTTTTAATTTACACCTTGTAAATTAAAAGTATTAAAGGAGAAAACTGAATTAAAAAAACATCTCACTCTACCTCCACCAAAAACATCACTTTATTGTTAATCTGTCATCAACAATGTAAAACTCTAATAGGTACTCTATCCTGGTTTTTAAAAAGGTAAAAGATTACATTGGATTAGCTACTTTCTATGAAAGAAACTACAGCAATCACAGAGAGGGAAAATTTGAATGACCTCCAAGAATGCACACTCTAAGCAAAGGGCAGTGTACATTAAATCAAATGTCTGTTAGATTTATTACTTTTGAATGCAGTGACAATTCTGGAAACTGCACATGATAGAATCACAGAAATGACTTCAATAACCAGAATTACATTTTGTGTGTGATCATCAGACCCTTAAACAATCCTTGAATTTTCCACATTACCAGTGGTTTTGGAGAAATTTCTGTTTTATCACTCCAAATCTAAGTTGTTAACAGCACTGAGATGGAGGTGTATGAAATACAAGGATTGAAATAAAAGTGAATTTGAAAGATGGCTAATCTACTAGATTAGGTAAAGGAGAATGGGCAAATGGTGAGGAGGAGGGGAACGAGGGAGGGGGTGTTTTTTCCCTTCATTTCAGAAGTTCTTCCAACGTAGTGTATCTGTTACACAGCTCTCCATTTTCAGTCCATTTCTGAAATTCATATCGCATAGCCTTTGTGCACTTACTGGTCAACCTAACCAGTACTGTTGCCAAGCAACAAGTGTTACACGGGAATCTGAACACATCAAATCTTCCTTGGCTGTGATTTCTTCGCGGCCCCAGTCTTCTCTGTTTCTGAGCGGGGTTTTTTCCTGGATTGTACACAGGGTCAGGTGGAATGGAGTTCCAAGTCACTCTGTGCTCCGCGGCATCCCGATTTCTTTCTGCAGCTAACCTCCTGACACGTTTGCAGCTGTTCTGAGGCAGAAAGACAATCTCCGTGTTCAGGCGGTGAGCTTTCTTTCTTTCACCCTTGACCCTGGGGTTGCAGGCCATGGTGTTGGGCGTTTCCCTGAGTGCAGCTGTCCTGCAGGATTCACTTCCTAGCGCACCGAGATTTCCTAGGTTTCCTCAGGGTAAGCCCCCAGTTGCATCACCACCGACTGTGGTGTGGCTTTGGATGCCTGAGGCTGAGTTGATTCTGGTGGATGTCTGACCTCGCTTAACCAGACTCATCTACTTTCTTGCCAGTCACACCCAGGCTGTCCAACCTTCATACAGCTGAGCCAAGTTATCTAGATTAGTTGCTTCCTTAATGACATAGTCAACCTGTAAAACAGATAGGACAGTAGTTAAAAACATTTAAAACTTGGGCTCAGAAAAGAGGAAACAAAGCATTTAACAGACCCAAGAATGGAAAGTTATCTATTGAAGATGTGTATGGGAATATTTTTTACTTGCTTTACAAGCAAAACAATGTATGTATGCTTTGAAAAACCATATTGGATGCTATAAAGATGTACAATGATTAAATGTAATAAAAATATAAAAATAAAAACACATGGAAGAACATGCTTCATATATTAATTTTATGAAACTTTGTTTTGCTTTGTTTTTTTTTTTTTTTTCTTTTTTCGTTTTTTTTTTTTATGTGTCTTTAGGCCACAGGGCATGTGTACCTGCCAGAGGCAAAATGATGCTAAGAAGGAAAGTGAGAAATCACTCCCACAAGGGAGAGGACCATGCCGCTCCATGCTCCTGGGATTTTTGAACATGCACACATGTGTGCCCGGTGTGATTTTCAATCCGCCAGGTACCAGGTCCAGGAGTCAAACTGCAGTCAGCCTTTGTGGGAGTCCAGTGCCTTAACCACCACGCCACCTGCTGCCCTTAGTTATATGAAGTATTTAAGAGTGAGTTTCTAATTACCAAAAGATGTGTAGTGGCTATGGTGGACAGAGATGAAGGAAGCTAGGTTTCTCCCCTAATTCTGAAGCATATAGGATGTAGGTTTGGGAAAGTCACAACCCCTTTGAGCCTCTACAGATGCTGAGACTGAAAGAGAGAGCCCCACCACCCCTATACATGCTACTGGAGTTAAACACGTGAAGTCATTTGGATAAAGGCTTAGAAGGTGTGTAAACAAGAGCTTAGCACAGATTCTGGAACACAGTGGGTACTAACAAGTGACCACGGATTCTGACTCAGCTAAATTTTCCGCTACAGTGAAACATGCTATATATCCAGAGTATTCTCTCTGTATCCAGAGTATCCATCAGGGTCCAGTTATACCAATAAAATGTTATCTATATAGAAATATATGCCTGCTGAATTGTAATCTATGCCAGAAGTTACAGGGACTCTGTATTTACCATGCTCTTAAGAGCCCCTTAACTTTCATATGAAATTTAATAACTATCAGAATAAAAAGCACAATGGTGAAGCATCCTTTTAAAAGAGAGAAGAGCAAGTGATGTGGAGGTTAAGGCCCTGGATTCCCACATGGTTAACCACGGTTTGAGTCCTAGACCAAGTGGCTTGAAAAATCATCCTGGGCATGTGCGCCCAAAATCCTGAGAGGAGAATGAGGAGAAGGGATTGCAGCATGGCCATTCCCCCTTGGGGGTGATTTCTCACTTTTCATTTCTTTCTCTCTCTCTCTGGCAAATACATGAGCTCAATGGCAAAAACCTAAAAAATAAAAAAATAAATAAAAAAAGACAGAAGATAAGAGAGCCAAAATGGATAGTTATAAAAAGTTATAACAGATAGAAGCATGCACATCCACTAAGCCACAAGAAAGTTTGTGAAGGAAAGATGCCTGACTCAGAACATCTTTCACTGTTTTTGACAAAACTGTTTCTAAGAAAACTCTTTCATGACCAAGAAAAGCTTAAGCCCAGGTACTATACAACAATGTAACAGTGTTAAGTCCAGGACCTATACAACAATTTAGTAGTGTTTAAAAGAATAAAACCTTTTTTCCTAATATTGAATTGTAGAATCCAAGCCACTGGAAAGCAGGATATGCCTAATCTCAAAATTTTACCCGAAAGAAAAAAGATACATTTGTGATGGAAAGCAGAAAGACATTACCCTTGACCAAACAGTCTAACTTATCACCAAAGATGGCACAAACCGGTATGTTCTGTGGTGTGAAATATTAAGGTAGAATGATCACTGAGAAGTGTTCGATATATATGAAAAGCATGATGGGCCCTCATCAGATTTAGAGGGTGGGGGATAGTGCTCAGAAAGGAGAGGTAAGGGATAAGAAAATTTTGGAATGATTGGAGAAATCTGAATGTGGAAAGAATGTTAAGCTAACAGTGTAGCACCAGTATTAAGTTTCCTGAAGTAATAATTATGTAGTGGCTGAATTAACATTGTTTGATTTTGGAGACGCAAGCTAAAGTATTTAGGCATCAAGTGTTAATGATGTCTGCAGTCCCGGACCTAGTGGTTTAAACTCACGCCAGGTGCGCGCACGTGAGTGTGTGTGTGTGTGTGTGTGTGTGTGTGTACCCAAGATCCCAAGAAGAGAATGGAGGAGAAGGGACTGTGGCGTGGCCATCCCCCCGGGAAGTGATTTCTTGCTTTCTGTCTGTCTACCTGTCTCTATCTTTCTGGCAAACGCATGCGCCCTATAGCAAAAACCTCTCAAAAAAATTTTTTTTAAATTAAATAATTCTTAAAAAAAATTTTTTTAGGCTGGCCTCATGGTTAAAGGGAGTCAAGATCCCACATGGCTGATAATAATTTGAGCCTGGGCCCTGGTGGTTTAAAAAGCATGGTGAGCATGTCTATGAACAAGCACACCAGAAATACTCTATGACCTACATGCGTCTTCTGGCAAGTTAAAAAAAATCTTTTTAAATTTTTAAAAATGTTTTTCAAAACAGGGGCTAGATTGTAGCACAATGATAAAAGACAATACTCTGCAGGGTAATACGTTGTGGCAAGATTATTGAGAGAATTTCCAAGTGATGACTTCAAACAAATTTCCACTGATTCCCAAGGACACTTTATAGATACAATCCCTGTGCCCAAAAGGGCATCCTCATTTCATTTGAAACTTTCAGAAAGTCTTCTTTAAAATGCAAATTAACTACAGTCTGGTGGAGAAGGGTGGGTTAGGCCACACTTTAAATGTTGGTTAACAAGGCTGAGGGGAAAGTGCCAACAGAGAAGGGTCGGAATAAAATGTGACTGCTTACTAACTCCAGAGCTGTGTGATTCGAAATCATCAGGGCAGTAGATTTGAGTCCCTTATTTCTTAATGAGCCACCAAAGAAATGGGTGTGGGAGATCGTTAAACCTGTGCTTTTGAGCCAGCCAGTGATGTGCTGGTTAAGATGGAGGCATCCCACATGGCCAACCTCATGATTTGAGTTTTGGACCTGGTACCTTAGGAGACAAACCAAGCAGCTTTTGTATGCAGGCCCAACAAGAAGGAGAGATGGAGAAAAGAGTGCAGCATGACCATTCCCCACGAGGGATGCATTCTAACTTTCCCCATCTCTCTGTCACTCCAGCAAGCACATGTGCTCTCTGGCAAAGTTAAAAACAGAAGATCAAAAAACCCCCACCTTTCCAACAGCATTATAATGTGTGACTTAAATTTCAAAAACAGTCACCTGTTCAGCAACTGACATTCTCCTATTGGGATCCACATCTCGGCCCTCTAGCTTAGCTTTCACCCTCTTCCACACACTCACTGCATATGAATTTCTCTCCTGCACAGCTGTGAAACAATAAAAATAAATAAAAACATGTAAGTCAAACCACCATTTGGTGTAAAAGTTGAAGTTACCTTCACCCTAATTCTAATTACCTTTCCCAGTTTTAGGGTCTCTGACCGCCTTTTTAGGACTACAAGCAACACTCTTGCCAGTTCCCGGAACAGCGCTTGGTGGAGTATCTGCTGATGTAGCAAGGTTTTTCTGAATCAGCTTTTTAGCATTCTGTGACATGACATCAGGCTGAGTCTTCTGGCCAGTGTTACTCCGGACTGCTACAGAGAGAGATGGTGGCACAATTTACATGCAAACAGAAAATGGAGGAGGGCAAAGAGAGCAGGGAATAGGTGGCAAATGCCCCAAATTAAATAACAAACTACAAAAAGACAGCTTTGAAAATAGACTTGACTTTACAACATTAAAGTACATATCCCTAGACATAGCAACTATTTTCCTAAAAATACATCCTAGGGGCCAACAGGTGGCATGATGGCTAAGGCACAGGACTCCCAAATGGCCAACCATGGTTCAAGTCCAGGACCCTAACCCTCTGGCTTGAAAATCACACTAGGCATATGTGTGTACATGCCCAAAATCTCAGGAGGAGAATGGAGAAGAGATTGCAACATGGCCATGGCCCCTGGAGAGTGATATCTCACTTTCCCTCTGTCTCTCTCCAGCAAGCACATGTGCCCCTATGGCAAAAACCTTAAAAAATAAAAATACATCTTAAACAGTCAGACACTCCAATACGAAAATTTAACAATAATATTCACTAGCTCATGGAATCAAATAACCGTTAAGAGCCTTAACTGTCCAACAATGGAGAGTTAATATGGAATAGTCTTAGAATAGCATATTATTTTGGCCATTAACTCTTTTTATTTAAAGAATTATGTAATGATGGGAAAATTACTAATTTCATGAAAATAGGAAAAGGCAATTAAAAATTTTATTTGCAGAATTACTCCAGTATATGTATGAATATGTATGTATGCATATAGCAAAGTAAATCAATTAACACAGTGGTTTTTACCTCTAGTTGGAATGGAACTACAAATTTTTCTTTTCTAACCAAGTATTTTTCTAAATTTCTCTAACATGCATGTATTTTACTATCATAAAACAAACATTTAGAGAGTATTTGAATACTTGAAAGAATACTTGAATAACTGAAGGTATTTTTAGTCTCTCACTTGATTATTTTTAAAGATAAGCCAAAATCTGTTCATTGTGAGGTTGCCGGGTTTAAAGAAACATTTTTAAAATGTAATGACCATAAACATTAATTAGATACTTAGATATAATAAAACATCTTAGCATCTAAGTGTAGATTATTAATAGATCAAGGTTTGACTCTTCTTTCCTACCTGCAGCAAAGGATGGCTGATAAGGAGCAGATGACGTTGGACTTGAACATTCATTTGTTGCATCGGTGACTAAGGGTGATGCAAAACTCACCAAATTATTATAGATACTGAAATACAAAACGGAATGGCTTACTTATGAAATGCTCTATACTTGATTAACTACTTACAAACTATGAACAAAACTAAGAAAGTTAAACAAGATACACTTACTATACCAGATGTTTTGCTTACATTTTATAAATTCTGGCTAGAATGCATTCTTACCTCTGAGTTTGTGATTTTAGTTCTTTCAAGGTGGGAGTGATTTCTTGGAGCATTTCAACATGTTCCTGACTTCGAACCTGACCCATAGCCTGGACTAATGTAAACAGAACCGTCTGAATGTTGTCTTGCCATGATTTATATTCACCCAAGAACTGCCTAACACTGTTCTCATAGGGAACATCTTCACCATCTGCCAAGGCAGCTTCTTCATCCTGGAAGCAATATCATAATCATTAAGAAAAATAGTTTTTGTCTCAGCAATTACTCAAGACAGTCACCTATTAAAAGGTAATAAATGTTTCAAGTATCACTGCTTAATCTGCTTATTTTATTGGGTCATCAGAAAAGTCATGACATATTTTTCTATTTTTCTATGCAAAAATGTGTCATGACTTTTCTGACGACTCAACAGTTCATTTCTTGTTCTAGTGGAACTTTGTTTTTTCAGTATGAAATAACCCTCAAATTAAATCCTAAAATTAAACTGTTTACTATTTTCTAATGAGGACTCTTGTTTCCTCACTAACTAGGTGCACAATACTGGAGGGAAGAGAGGGTGCAGATCTAAGCACAAGACAAGGTTCAACTCTCAGTTCTATTACAAGTTATATGATAGTAAGTGAATCAATTTCTTTCTTTTCCTTTCCTGTTATAGGGCACATGCAATCGCCAGAGAGAGAGAAAGAAAATGAGCAAGCACCCTCAGCCCCCGCCATCCCTGGAGAAATGGCCACACCACAGCCCCTTCTCCTCTGTTCTCCTCTTGGGGCTTTGGGCACACATGCACACATGACCAGCATCTTTTCCAAGTGGCTGGGATCAGAACTTAAACTATATAGCCTGCCATGTGGGATCCAGCCACCTAAACCACCACTGGCCCGTGAATCAGTTTAAGACTCAGTTACCCTGTATAAAAAAATAAGACTACTACTAATTGCTTTTTTAAAAATAACTGGTGAAAACAGAAATTAACTCAGTTACAAACTGGATTACAAACAGGAAGATATGATTTGAGGTAAATTTTTTACAAAATGTCACTATTTTATTATACACAAAATTACTTATTTTTAAAAGAATGATTTGATTATTATTTAATTTAACCAGAGAAAGAGAGAAAAGGAAAGAGAAAAAGGTAAAGAGAGAAAGAGAGTCCAGCACCTTGAACGCCACACTACCTGCCAACCCCACTACTTGTCATTTTATAAGAGAGGCGGGTATAAATGTGTGTCCATGGTACTAGCCACCTTACCTTAGCCATTGCCTTCAGGAGATGTTTGACATCTCCAAGCTGTCGGTTATGGCCAGTGAGCACAGTCTTTATATTATCAACCAGATTCTGAATTGTTTCACAGACTGTTTCTATCTGTTGTTCTTTCTCTGTCTGAATTGTCCTCTGAGTAGACATATCCTGGGTCAATTGTTTGTGTGCTGACAGAAGCCATTCAGAGCTGCCAATAGGATGCTCAAGACTGGTGTCCTAAATAGAACAAGCATTTGTTTGATTTGAAGTATCAGCTGGAATAATATGAGTCCTTTCCTCCTCATCATTGGAAGATACCAGTAACTCAAGCTGACACAAAGAACCCCAAATGTGGAGTAATGAATTAATTACCCACAAAACAGTACTTAACGTAGTATTGACAATTTATGAAATACACACTAGGATCCTAAACTTTTCTGCATAACCACATAGGGTATAATAAATGTTTAAATGTTAAGAACTGAGAGAGACATTTGGAATAACAAAGATAACCTGCATCTAGGCCTCTGAACTTTTATCCTAAATATGAAATGAGATCAGAACTTCCTAATATGTGGCCTAAAAGCCTTTCCCCAAAATATAAATGCCCAACTTTCTACTCAATATCCCTGAAATTAACTAATCTTTCTAGCATTCACTTTCCTCTAGCCCTCTTGCTACCACTGTTGTATTTCACTACATACATCAGAATCATTCACTATGCACTTTCTCCTTCCTCCTGAGCTTCCATAATACTTCAGTTGCAGCTATGAGAATCCTTCTCACTATATTAAATAAATATTAAATCCCCTGAGAGTTAAGAGTAATATTTAATCATCACTGTATCCCTCATAATGACATTTTACACACAAGACATGTTCATGAAATGAGAACTGAGGGAGTATACTGATTTTGGCAGTTTAAGATTGGCCTTATTTCTTTTATCACCAAGTGTCTTTAGTCCCACCAAGACTCACCACTCTCTGTAATAAACGAAGCTCTAACTCCGAAACTGAACTATTAAACTGTGATGCAAATGAACACATTTGCTGACACCGTTTGATAAGTTCAAACAATGCAGTATCCAGGTTTAAGGCTTCTGCAGTTCTTGTTCGTAAACTTTCAAAATGAATGATATTGCTGCAGAGAAAAGTGACCTATAAAGACAGAAATGGAATCACCACAAGTGGGGAGAAGAGAAGGGCAATTAACAACATGAGCAAATACACATTTCTAGAATTCAGCAACAGAAATGACCCTGATAATATATCTTCTACACAACTGTTTTTACACAGGAAATTCACTTCAAAATAAAACTTAGTATATTCAGCTGCAATCTGTATAAGGCTAAATTTCAGAAAATATTTGTCCAAATGATCCCCATCTGCTACTCCTGCCTAACATTATAATAAAGACTACAAAATACTAACTGGATATTTGGTATTATTAAGCAAACTCAAGTAATGATTAATAATACTATGGCTATATTCTTAAATAGATCTGATTTTTTTTTTGGGGGGGAGGGGTTTGCTATAGGGCACATGCAATTGCCTGAAAGACAGAGAGGAACAGAGAGACAGAAAGCCAGAAATCACCCCCAGGGCGCATGGCCACGCCACAATCCCTTCTCCTCCATTCTCCTCTCGGGATCTTGGGCAAGCACACACGCACCCGGTGTGAGTTTAAGCCACTGGGTCCGGGATTCGAACCGCAGTTGACTACATGGGAGTTCAGCGAAATAGCCATTATGCTAACTGCTGGTCCCAATAGTTCTGACCTTAATATGTATTGGGAGGGCTGGCAGGTGGTGTGGTGGTTAAAGGCGTTGGACTCCCACGGCTCAAATCCCAGACCTGGTAGCTTGCTTTCTCACTTTCCTCTCTCTCTGTCTCTTTCTGATCAGACTGAAAAATAATACTAATAAAGTTAAATAAAATAATTCCAAAAAGTAAAAAAATGTATTGGGTTGGGGGCCAGCAGGTGGCATGATGGTTAAGGGTGCTGGACTATGACATGGCCGACCACAGTTAGAGTCCCTAGATCTGGCAGCTTGCTTTCTCGCTTGCTCTCTCTTACTCTGTCCCTCTCTGGTCAAATTAAAATAAATGAATAAAAATAAAGTTAAATAAAATAATTCTGTAAAAAAAATATGTATTGGGTTGTCAGAAAAGTCATGATGTGATTCTTTCTGTTTTTTCTATGCAAAAATACACCATAATTTTTCCAACAAACCAATACATACTAAAATAGTTACAGATAAATTAGTATGTGAGATTTCCATTAAATATGGGATAGGGAGGAGAAGTAAGACCTATAGATGAAATAAAATAGAATTAAGATGACAATATTCACAGCACCTTTTCAAATCTCTGGATCACTTCAGGTGCATATAAGGGATCTTAGACAAATATGGAATCAGAACTGTGTTTATTTCTCTACAGAGGCTGAATCCACTTACTCAATATTTAAATGAAAGGCAGTAAGGACCCAGGGAAACAGTCTGTGAGCTCAGTCAGCCCAACCTAAAGGATGCCTGGAAAGGCTCATCAGTCTCTCCTCTGTGCTATGAACTAGAGCATGGACTCTCGAGCTCCCCCAGGGGCCCCACATACAATTTCCAATAGCTGCATGATCCTGTAACCAAATAAAAAGAGGGTGTCGGCAATCACAATACCTGACTTGCTCTTTGGCTCTCTTTAAGCACAAGATTTCTTCTTTCAGCTATTGTTGCTTCAAAATCCTGTAGCACAGGTGCCAGTGCAGGGTTGGCGCCACCTGCCCACTTGAGTCGCTGCTCAATACTTGCTTCAAGTGCTGCTAGCTTCTCCTATAAAACCCAGCAGAATCTCGGTGAATGTCTGACATTCTCCACTTCCTATCTGTTAGGCATTGCATATAATACAAGAAAGATTCAAAAGAAGTAGGATAGGGCATTTGCAATTTAGAAAATATTTCTAATAGTCACCTTTTACGATTAATCATAATTTCACTCTAAATAGTTAAAGGTAAACATGCCTGCAGATGTAATAACTGCCTTTCAGTTTATCATCTTATAATATACAGAAGGTAATCTTATTTTCATTTTTAAATAAAATGATCTTAAGACAAAAAATCTGCTAAGCCAATTTCATACTGAGCTATATGTACTATCCATAAGAAAATGCAGGGCCAGCATGTGGCGTGATTAATTAAGGCACTGGATCCCATATAGCCAATTGTGCAGTTTGAGTCCTGTATGCAGCAGTTTGAAAATCACACTGGGCCCATGTGTGTGCATGTGCACAAAATCCCAAGAAGAGAATGGAAGAGAAGAAATTGCGGTGTGGCCACCTGCCTTGAACGGTAATTTCTTGGTTTCCCTTTCTCTCTCTCTCTCCATTGAGCAGACACACTACATAGCAAAAACAATTTTTAAAAAAGAAAGAAAAAAAGAAAATCCATAGCCAGCCTGTGGCATGGCAGTTAAGTGACTGGATCCTACATAGACAACTGTGTAGTTTGAGTCTTGGGCCCAGGAGCTTGGTAAACAGTCAGGGTACATGTGTGTTCATGCCTAAAATCCTGAAAGGAAGGAAGACTGGAGAAGAGATGGTGGCATGACTATTCCCCATGTGGGGTGCTTGCTTTCTTTTTCTTTCTCTCTTCTCCCCCTCTCCAGCAAGTACACACATACTTTGGTAAAATTTAAAAAATGAAAAACAAAAAGGACACATAAAAATACACACAAACAACTTAAAGACCAGTTTCTCTTATTTTAAAAAAGGGAAATAGAAGGATTATTTAGCTGAAATATTTAGACTTTTAACTGAAGAAATACAATCATATAATAATAATAGTTTTTAAAAACTTTCCCAGAGACAAAAGGACATCTGACTTCTGAGTATGAGCCTGCATAGTACAAGCAATGAAAAAGAATTAAAAACAGGTGATGATGCTGAGAAAAACCAGATATGTTCAGTGCCACACTGTGGAAAGGAGAGGCATGCAAAAGACCGGGCCAAATCTCCAGGTCTGCCTGGGAGGAAGGCAGGCCCAGCCCTTGAGTCTCGAACACAGATGCCAACAAGAACAATGGCACCACCCAGGGAGAGCACATGCTGATGGAGTATCTGGAGAATCCAAAAAAAACATTACCCCTGAAACAGAAATGATCTTCTCTGGCATTAAGAAAAAGTCAGGGGACCAGCAGATGGCATAATAATTACCCCTTGTTAGACTCCCACATAGCTCACCATGGTTGGAGTCATGAACACAGCGGCTTAAAACTCATGCCAGTCATGTGTACAGTGTGTGCCCAAAACCCTGAGAGGAGAACAGAGGAGAAGGGATTGTGGCATGGCCGTTATTCCCCACCCAGGGGGTGATATCTCACTTTCTGTCTCTCGTCTTGTTCTGTCTGGTGAGTGCTCATGCTCTATAGCAAAACTCTTTAAAAGAAAAAAAAGAGCAGAATTGACAGCTTATCTCAAAACAGCTACTTATGAGTAAAGATGGCCACTGCTCTATTTACAACAAAACAGAAATGTGATTTTTTTTTTGTTTGTCTCCTACATCAGAATTCAGATTGTGAATGGCTGATGGGTATCTTTTGTTGGACAGCCCTGATTTAAATACAAATGGCTGGTGTTTAAGTGAGTATCATTAGTTGTTGGAATTTTTTTTTTTTTGGAGAGGTTTTTGTTATAGGGCGCATGCACCTCCCAGACAGACAAGAGACAGAGAGACAGAAAGTGAGAAATCACCCCCCATGGGGGATGGCCACACTGCAATCCCTTCTCCATTCTCCTCTTGGGATCTTGGGCACGTACGCACACGCGCCCGGCATGAGTTTTAAGCCACCGGGTCCAGGACGCGAACCGCAGTAGACTATGTGGGAGTCCTGCAACATAGCCATTACGCTAACTGCTGGTCCCATTAGTTGTTTGAATTTTAATAGAAATTCTGATTCAATGAATGCTATCAGTCTTGCCCTTTCTAAAGATAATGCTGATAATTGATTAGTAATGATCCACTCTTTACAAAGATGGTGATGCTATCTCAAAACCTACTGCAGGGGCCAGCAGGTGGCACAATGGTTAAAGCGCTAGATTCCCATATGGGTGACGCCCTGGACTCAGTGGCGTGAAAATAATATCAGGTATGTGTGCATGCATGCCCAAAATCCCAAGAGGAGAATGGAGAAGAAAGGGTCGCAGAGTGGTCATTCCCTGGGGGAAGGCAGAGAGCAAATTTTCACTTTCCTTCTTACTGTCTCACTCTAGCAAGTGCACACGCCCTATGGCAAAAACTTAAAAACAAACAAACAAACAAACAAACCCAGAGACTGGTTTTCTCCCACATGGCAGATCACGGTTTGAGTTCTGGTGGCTTGCTTTCTCACTCTCCCCTATCCCGTTCAAATTAAAATAATGAAGATGATGAATAAAATTAAATAAAAATAATTATTAAAAAAAATTCCTGGTATGGGGGACCAGCAGTTAGCATAATGGCTATGTCGCTGGACTCCCATGTAGTTGACCATGGTTCGCATCCTGGACCCGGTGGCTTAAAACTCATGCCAGGCGCGTGTGCGTGCATGCCCAAGATCCCGAGAGGAGAACGGAGGAGAAGGGACTGTGGCGTGGCCACCCCCCCCAGAGGGTAATTTCTCGCTTTCTGTCTCTATGTCTCTCTCTGTCTGTCTGGCGAGAGCATGCGCCCTACAGCAAAAAAAACTCTCAAAAAATATATAAATAAATAAATAAAAAATCCCGGTATCTAAAATGCTGTTTACTAACTGAAAGGCAAAATTTTTGTGTGATTTATGTATATTATCAAAAAAAAGAATATGTAATACTTCACATATCTTATTGATAATTTATAAGATCAGATGCTTTTGAAAGTCAGCATGACAAGATTTAGTAGCAAATTAAACTTCATGCTTGAATTCTTTATTATCTAAGTCAGACTAAGTTATGATTCAGAACTTTAAGCAGCTATGCAAACCATACAAAAATGGTAGAACTACTGAGTATGTGTGATTGGAAATGTCAACTTCTACCAACTTATAAGAAGAATTAAGTAGAGGAGATACACCATCAGCACAGATTTGTAAAGTATGTGAGCATAAGACTTAAGAAAATTAAAAACAAAATAACAGATCATGTGTGAAAAAAATGTCCTGTCACCCCTAACATCTTAAAATTCCATTACCTACCCAACAGAAGAAGTCCCAAACTTCTTACAGACAATAATAACAAACCAGATATAACTGCTAAACACATCCTGGGAAATAAATTAAGTATTCAAAGTTTTTTCCAATCACCCGGACACCTGAATGTATTAAGACATAGTCACTATCAAATCTGTTAAACACCTGAAATATTTAATATTTTCTTAGTTCAAAATATAATTGTCACTGTAGAATTTAATTACCTAGGAGAGTAAGAAAAAATGTAACTTAAGAATAAAAGTGAAAAGGGATGACATTCTTCTGAATCAGAAGCTAAGGACAAATACACAGATATGCTGAACAATCACTGCTTAAGTTAGTACTGGCAAGAAGATCAGACAGAATGTACCTGAACTGTTGCAATTGAAGTTTCAATTTGGCTCAGAGTGTGCAGTTTCTTTTTCATGCTCGTCAGGATAGCAGACCGAGGTGGAGGCGTGACAGACATGGCTTGTGGTCTATTGATAAGCAGATCTTCATGCTGCCACTGTTGAAGGAAAACAGAAAAGTAATAAAATCAGCAAGAAATAAAGATAAATAAGGGAAGGGAGGTGGCAGGACTGGGAGGAAGAGAAAAAAATCCCAATTGCAGCAAATGGGAGGCAAGTAGAGAGGTGCAACTGAAGAACCACTGCAGAATTACATCAAGGCAGAAACCTTCCCCAGGCAGGGAATGGCTAATACATTTCTTGGATCATTAATATGAAACAAATAAACAGTAAGGCTGAAGATGTTTAGTATTCTATCAAAAAATAACTCAGGTACATGTGGAGGTGCACCTAAAATCCAGGAGGGAAATGGAGGCAAAGAGAACCCAGTGTGGTCACCCTCCCACTGGGGGTTATTTCTCACTTTCCCTCACATCATCTCCAGTGAACACATGCACCCTATGGCAAAACCCCAAAAAAAAAAAAAAAACAAAACAAAACAAAAAAAAAAATGTTTAGGTTTTAAAAAAAGAAAACAACTACCAGCAAGCAATGTGGTAGTTAAGGCACTGGACTCTCACATGGCCAACCATAGTTGGAGTCCCAGATCTTGCAGCTTGCTTTTCTCATCTTTTCTATCTGGTGAGTACACCTGCCCTATGGCAAATTATTCAGTTGGGAAAGTCGTGACACATTTTTGCACAGAAAAATACATCATGACATTCCTGATGTCCTAATAAAAAGTAAATTTAAAAAATTAATAATTCTTAAATAGCTACAATTTATATTGTGCTTATACAGACCATACTTAACCCTCACCGTCATCATCGTATGAGAGAAGTACTATTCCCATTTGACAGAAATCAGGGAACCAGCAGTTAGCGTAATGGCTATGTCGCTCGCCTCCCATGCTGTCGACCGCGGTTCGCATCCCGGACCCGGTGGCTTAAAACTCACGCCGGGCGCATGTGCGTGCGTGCCCAAGATCCCAAGAGGAGAATGGAGGAGAAGGGATTGCGGCGTGACCATCCCCTCTGGGGGTGATTTCTCACTTTCTGTCTCTTGTCTGTCTGGCGAGCGCACGCACCCTTATAGCGAAAAACCTCTCCAAAAAAAAAAAAAGAAAGAAAAGGAAATCAGAGCTTAGGGAAGTTAAGTGCAAGTTTATATACCAAAATCTGATTGGAATTCAAATCAGTGTCACCCCAAAGCTGCTATACTGCCTTTAAATAATCAAGGACAAAAACAGGCTTCTAAAAACAGTTCTAAAACAGACTAAAACCCCAAGCTATTCATCACATCATTAGAACACCAGGAAAACAAAAATTGCATTAGTAATAACCTTAATTATATGGTTGACAATCAGGAAGGTGTTTTTTCTTTTCGGGGGAGAGGTTTTTGCTATAGGAAGCAGGCACTCGACAGAGAGACAGAAAGCAAGAAATCACCCCCCGGGGGGGAGGACCACGCCGCAATCCCTTCTCCTCCATTCTCCTCTCAGGATCTTGGGCGCATATGTACACACGCCCGGCGTGAGTTTAAGCTACCGGGTCCAGGACTCAAACCACAGTCGACTACATGGGAGTTCAGCGACATAGCCATTAGGCTAACTGCTGGTCCCGGTATGTTTTTTCTAAAACCATGTTTTAGAACGTTATCTACAAAATGAATAAATATGACTATTAAGAATTATACCTACAAGGGGCCACCAGGTGGTGTGGTAGTTAAGGCACTGGACTCCACATGGTCAACCACGGTTCAAGTCCTGGACCAGGTGGCTTGCTTTCTCACTTTCTTTCCCTCCTTCCCTCCCTCCCTTCCTCCCTTTCTCTCTCTCTGTCTCTAGTGAGCACACATGCCCTATAGTAAACTTAAAAAATAGTAGTAAATTATTTTTTTAAAAAAGAATTATATCTAAAAGAAAATTATTTTTCAATTGTATTTACAAACATACTTAATGATATAGACAATGCTTACTATACAGCCCTGTTGGAAACAAATTCAAAAGACACAAACTAAACACAAAATCTGAACTACAAAAAAGAGAAACAAGGAATTGGAAGAAAGCACTAAAACATGCTTAAAGGTGTGTTTGCTTTAAGTTAGCACAACTCGGAAACTTAAAAACTTCCTGTACTATTGCATCTGTTAATTCCCCCAATTATTCACATTTCCTGCACTGAGGAAAACCACATTATTAAGAAAAATACTTACCTGAAACATGGCAATATGCAGCTGAACCCGCTGCAGGCTTGTCTTACAAGAAGAAATACTGGTTTCCAGCCTGCGCACCAAGTCATGCTTCTTCCAGGCGGTGTCGTAAGAACTTGCTAACACAGTTGCCCTGTTCATGACTAACTGAGAGAACTTCCCAATCTGGATGTTGTGCTCCACTGCTTTCTTACACAAATCATCCACGGAAACTTTGCTTTCAGCGCCAAAGTCCTTAGCCTCTACTTGTGCAATGATGTCTACACCTAGAGCACTGATAAAACTGCACAGCGTGAGTCCAAGGGCTTGGTTTGGCAGTCCTATCAAGAGCTGCCTCACGAAGTCGGCTGTGAATGCCTTGATAGGTTTGGCCATCTGGTCTTCACTGAAACAAGAGTTTCTAAAAAGGGTTTTCACATTGACAATCTGCACTGGCCCATTCACAGTATTCTGATCTTCAAGTGAACTTGATCCTTTAAAAAAAAAGAAACTTTCTTAAAAGTATTTCATGCAAAACAAAAATAAGGTAATAATGCTAATTTAAAGTGCTTATGATTTTATGGATGTACAGTTAAAGCATATTCTACTCTGCTCCCTTCCAAATTAAACCCAGCAGATTAAAAGCAGAGTATTACCTGACAATGTTTTAGAAAAGGTACCACAGAGCCTGAAGAATTCTTTAATTGTCTGTAGTCTTTTTAGAAAAAAAATCTCTTCTAACACCTGCCGATGATTATCATCATCAAAAAAATTAACTTGAGTACTCCTGGCTTCCCTTATGATATCAATCTTTCGCCAAGCTGTAGGAATTTCCATTTTATTTAACTACGTAAAAGAAAGAAGAAAAGAAAGTTCATTTCTTCACTCTTCACATACATACAACTACTTTACTGCATCTGCATTATGTATAAAATCATGTCAATTTACCTTTTCAACTAATAAGCCAAAAGCAGTTTCAACTTGGGCAAACATTCCATCAAATGCTACCAAAAGCATCTGACCAGCTGACATTTTTGGTGTTTCATCAACTGAACCATTTCTTGGTTGGATTAACTCACCATACTGAGCATGCAATATTCTAGAGGAAAAGAAAAGGGAATTAAAACCCTCACTAAATAATCATGCCTTTTGGGGAAAATAAAATGTCAGCATCACAGCTAGTATATAAAGTGCAGAAAACCTTTTGAAAAACACCTAACACCACGTAGTTTTACGGAAGTATTTTTTTTTTTTTAAATCATTTCGGAGCCATTTCTGATTAACACGTGACTTTTTTTTTTTTTCTTGAGAGGTTTTTGCTACAGGGCACGTGCGCTCACCAGACAGACAGAGAGAGAGACAGAGAGATAGAAAGCGAGAAATCACCCCCCAGGGGGGATGGCCATGCCGCAATCCATTCTCCTCTCAGGATCTTGGACATGCACGCACATGTGCCCAGCGTGAGTTTAAGCCACCAGGTCCGGGACTCGAATCGCGGTTGACTACGTGGGAGTCCAGCAACATAGCCATTACGCTAACTGCTGGTCCCAACACATGACTTCTTTTAAACCAAAACTGTAGTTTCAGACACAGACAGCTACCATATTCACATGTTAATGACGATTATAACTTTGTATATAAACTGCCCATAAAACCACATTTTTACATGTATCTAAAAGTCACCATGTTTGTCCAAAATAACTACCCTCTATACTAGAGAAAAAGAAAATGGAATTAAAACCCTCATTAAAGAATAATGCATTTTGGGAAAAACATAAATGTTAGCATCACAGCTATTATACAAAGTCCGGAAAGTCTTTGGGCATTAAGGAGGGAATCTTATGATATACTTAAGTTCTTTGGAAATTACCTTCTTATGTTATCATTAGCTTAAGGTTTATAATAGTACCTAGATGTCCATGTACAATTTCTAAGCAGCTTATTTTTTAAAGAATTATTTCATTTTATTTATTCATTCATTTATTTGAATTTGACCAGAGACAGACAGACAGAGAGAGAAAGTATGAAACCAAGCTGCCAGGTCTGGGACCCAAACCGTGGTCAGCCATGTGGGAGTGTCCAGCACCTTAACCACCATGCCACCTGCTGGTCCCCCCTAAGCAGTTTATATAAAAAGCAAAAATGTGATTTCTAGTACTTACAACTACTATCAGTAACGCTAAGGTTAAGTTCAATTTCAACTTTATTTATCACATGTATACAGAAATCATTCCAAACAACTGGAACTATTATACGTTTTTAAATTTTTTTAATAATTATTTTAATTTTTTTTAAAAAAATTATTTAATTTGACCAGAGAGGGACAGAGTTAGAGTGAGAGTGAGAGAGAGAAAGAGAAAGTTAAGAAAGCAAGTCACCAGGTCCGGTACTAGAACCCTGGTCGGCCATGTGGGAGCCCAGCGCCCTTAACCACCATGCCCCTTGCCAGTACCATTATTAAGAGTTTTTAAAAGAATTTAAAATGTTAAGCTACTGGGACCAGCAGATGGCATAATGGTTACATCACTGGACTCCCATATAGTCCACTGCAGTTCGAGTCCCGGATCCGGCACCTTAAAAAACTCACTCTGGGCACATTTACGTGCATGCCCAAAATCCCAAAGGGAGAATGGAAGAGAAGGGACTACAGCGTGGCCATCTTCCCAGGGATGATTTCTCACTTTCTGTCTGTCTCTGTGCCTTCAGCAAGCACACACACACACACTATAGCAAAAGAAATCTCTCTAAAAACAACAAAAAAGTTAAGCTACGAGAGAAATTTCTAATGGAAACTGCAAGACAGTAAGAAAGTTTCCTTGAGATTATAAAAAGAAAGTTTATTGGAAACAAGGTGCAGTACAGAGGCTGTCAAGAACTAGGCGAGCACAAATTAAATATTCCTCTGTATAAAGACAAGGGGAGCCTGATAAGATATTAAGACCAGGTCAGCCAGTGGCATGCGGGTTAAGGTGGCTGGATTCCCAAGTGTGCAGTTTGTGAGTCCCAGATCTAGTGAGTTGAAAAACATGTCGGGTACATGTGTTCAATGTGTCCAAAAAGAGGAGGAAGAAGTGGGTAAGAAATTATGGTATGGTTGGGGCCAGCAGTTAGCGTAATGGTTATGTTGCTGGACTCCCATGTAGTAGACCACAGTTTGAGTCCCGGACCCAGTGGCTTAAATCACACCGGGCATGTGTGCATGTGTGCACCAAGATCCGAGAGGATAATGGAGGAGAAGGGATTGCGGCATGGCCATCCCCCCCCAGGGGATGATTTCTCACTTTCTGTCTGTCTGTCCCTCTCTGACGAGCGCACACTCCCTATAGCAAAAACCTCTCAAAAAGAAAAAAAGAAAGAAAATTATGGTGTGGCCATCCCCCATGGGAGAATGCATTATCACTTTTCCTCCCTCTCTGTCTCTCTCCAGCAAGCACATATACCAGCAAATTAATAAAGATATTAAGGGGAGATAAAAATTAGATATGAAACTTAGTGCAAAAGAAAAGGTATAAATGGGCCAGGTGTTAGCGCAACAGTGATATAACTGGACCCACACATGAAGGTCATGGGTTCACATCCTAGAACCTCCCTGTGCACAGCAGGTGCTTGCCCATGATTCAGGCTGGTTGAGATTGCAGGTAGATCATGCATGAACATGCCCACCTCTCTCTCAGAAGAAATAAAAGCAAAGAAAAAGAAGAAAAGCATATATATATTTCACATCTAATTTAAAACATATTGCTAGAAATTTTATGATAAAGCTGTTATACAAAAACTTAAATCACTATTTAGTTAATATCTGTTTATGCTGTTAATAATTTTATTTATAGGGGCCAGCACATGAGGGCACTCAACTCCCACATGGCTGACCTTGGTTCAAGTCCCAAACCTGGCAGCTTGTTTTCTCACTTTCTGTGTCCCTCTCTGGTCAAATTTAAAAATAAATAAATAAATTTAAATAAAATAATTCTTTTAAAAATTATATTTATTGTATGAATTTAAAAAAATACATGCTTCAGGATAACAGGCAGTTATCATTTAAATAAAATTGTCCAGGTGGAGATAATTACCAAAGGTGATAAAATGAAAGTTCATTACACTATTTTCTCTACTTTTTTTCCTTTTGTTTTTTTCTTAAGAGAGACTTTTGCTATATGGCACATGCGCTTGCCAAAGAGACAAGAGAGAGACAGAAAGCAAGAAATTACCCTCCAGGCAGGATGGCCACACCACAATCCCTTCTCCTCCACTCTCCTCTCAGGACACGCACACACAGGCACCCAGCATGAGTTTAAGCTGCAGGGTCTGGGACTCAAACAATGGTTGACTACATGGGAGTCCAGCAACATAACCATTATGCCATCTGCTATTCCCTCCTCTACTTTACTGTCTCTCTGAAATTTCCCATGGAAAGAAACAGGGTGATCAGTTTGCTTCTTCTCTCTCAATTTTACTTTATGTAATAAATTACACACTGGAATGCCAAAGAGGTCCTGAATTGCTAGGGATAAAGGAGCATAGGGCTTAGTTAGAGAACAAAGCATGTCCAGAGGAACTGCCCAACCTTTACAGGTTCCAAAACCCAATTGCTTTCCTGAATTAAGGTGATGAGAAATGCAATGTTCAATAAAACAAACACAAATTGAATCTAATTGAAATGTATTCACCTGAAATAAGGTATATACTCCATTAACTAAGTTATTTTAGGTTAGTTTTAAAGATTATCACCATATTCTGAGGGTCAGCAGATAGCATAATGATTTCGTCCCTGGACTCTCACGTATTTGACTATGGTTCAAGTACCAGACCCAGCAGCTTGAAACTCACACCGGCATGCGTGCATGCCTGCCCCAAAGCCCAAGAGAATGGAGGAGAAGGGATTGCAGCATGGCCATCCCATCCCCCTGAGGGGGTGATTTCTCACTTTCTGTCCGTCTCTGTCTCTCCAATGAACGCATGTACCCTACAGCAAAAATCTCTCTTTTAAAAAAAAAAAATTTCACCATACTTAATTTTATGTGTACACAGTGTAACCACAGCACTTAGAAGGATAAATGTGACAGACTGCATACACTATATATGCATGCAGCCATGCATATGTGTAACTAGTGACCACAGAGTAAGGACTATGAACCTCTGTCCACTTTGTGCTGCTGTTACCGTATTATGGGCATGCAAAACATTAACACTGGATGAGGGATGAAGCCTGTACATTTTTTTCTTTATAATATTTCCTATGAATCTGTAATTGTTTCAAAATAAAAAGTATTCTTAAAAAGATAGGTGTATAGAGACCAGCAGTTGGTGTAATGGCAATGTCACTGGATTCCCATGTAGTCCACCATGGTTGAGTCCCAGGCCCAGTAGCTTAAACTCACACTGGGCGCGTGTGTGTACATGTCCAAGATCCGAGAGGAGAATGGAAGGGAAGGGATTGCAGTGTGGCCATCCCCCGGGGGGTGATTTCTCACTTTCTGTCTCTCTGTCTCTGTCTTTCTGGCAAGCGCACGCACCCCTATAGCCAAAAAGTTCCCCCCGCAAAGAAAAGATAGGTATATAAACATTTAAGAGCAATTATACCTGTCCTAGAAATTGAAAGTAAACTAAGAGCTCAGGATCCCTTTATCTGGCTACCCCAGGTCTTTCATTAGGCAACAGGGCATTGTTGGCATTCACTTGCCTGGCAACATCGATGTAATGAGCATGTGTTTCTTCTTCTAGTCCCATAGCTGCATTCCTTAAATAGGCTTGAAGAGATTCAACTAGAGTCTGCAGGGGAACACCATCAGTTGTCTGCTCGATAAGAGTGTCCAGCTCCTGAAGCATACTTTCTAGTGTGTATTCCCCCTTCATTAAACATCTAAGTGCTTCAGGAAAGATAATTTGCCGGAAATTCGAATTCAATTCCTAGAAATAAGTGAGAACCATATTTTAATGCTTATTGAGCTTACACAACACAAACATTTGGAGACTTAGTGTCACACATTTAAACAAACTTACAGAATTATAACCAAGTTACAGCTGGAAAACTCACATCTTTATTTTTAATGACTGCTTATGCAACAATTTTTTAAAGAATTAGTTTATTTAACTTTATTTATTTTAATTTGATCACACAGGGAGTGAGACAGGGAGGGAAAGTGAGAAAGCAAGTCACCAGGGTCCAGTATGCATACTGTGGTCAGCCATGTGGGAGTCCAGAGCCCTTAACTACCACACCACCCGCTGGTCCTGCTTATGCAACATTAAAAAGGGGAAGTCAAATGGCTTTTCTGGATTAAGGAAATGAGAAAGAAAATGTTCAATATCTAAAACAAAATTTGTAAAATTTGGGGCCAGAAGGTGGCATGGTGATTAAGGGCGCTGGACTCCCACATGGCCAATCATGATTCAAGTCCCAGATCTGGTGGCCTGCTTTCTCACTTTCTCTCTCTCTTTCATTCTTACTCTGTCCCTCTCTGGTCAAATTAAAATAAATAAATAAGTAAAGTCAAATAAAATAATTTTACAAAAAGAAAACATACTTACAAATTTGCAAAGTTTAAGGCAAATTAAAAGTACTCACTTGAAGTGAGGTGTAGACTCCATTGGCTAAGTGAACTGCTTCTGATGCCTCCACAGGGTTTGGAATGTCTAAGTCCTGTGGTACCAGGTGGCACTGCTTCAGTAACTGGACCAAGCAGGTGACATTTCCACTCATACTGCAGAGCTCCTCCAAGAACCAGGCTCCATCTCGAGAAGTCAGATCAACTAGCTGCTCCCCAGCACTTGAAGCTGCACCTTCCATCATTAGGTTCCTCCTAGATGCAGAAAATATTTGTAGGTGAAACTGATTTAGTAGGACATAAATACTAAAATGGGTACTTCAAAATCTGAAAACAAAGAAAGCACCTGTAACACTGGGCAAGACTACAGAAAGTAAAGGAACATCTTTAGTTCAGGATTTGAAATACAACATATGGGAGTCGGCAGGTGGTGTGGTAGTGAAAGGTGCTGGATTCCAACATGGCCGACTACGATTTGAGTCCCAGACCTGGTGGCTTCCTTTCTCACTTTCTCTATCTTTCTTGTTCTCTCACTCTGTCCCTTTCTGGTAAAATATAAATAAATAACTGAATAAATAGAGTTAAATAAATCAATAATGCTTAAAATAAAAAAATAAAACACTGAAATTCAATAAACATCAGAAAATACAATGGTGCAATATGAAGTTAGCTAACTCACCTGGTAAGAGTACAAAGGGCAGAAATAATGACACTTGCTAGACTCAAAGATCCTTCATCTCCATTCTCATGAAGAAAAACTTTAATGCAACGTTCAATTTCTTTCAACTGATCTTCACAAACTGGCACAGTGACGGCTTCTTGTTTCAAACGTTCCACTTGTCTAATAAGTCTGCTGTTTATGTCAGCTGCATACCGCTGCAGAGTCATCTCAGTGGCTGTGATGAACTGACACACTGTTGGTGGTGGCTGGGGAGCATACTGCATTTCATATCTACAAAAATAAAATAGATGTGCTTGTAAATAAAGTTCGCACTGTACAGAAATTGCATTTCATCATCAAAGAGTAGAAATCATTATTTGTGGGCCAGGAGGTGGCATGGTGGTTGAGGCATTGGACTCCCGCATGGCCAACTGCAGTTTGAGTCCCAGCTTGCTTTCTCACTCCTCATCCCTGCCTTTGGTGAGCATATGTGTCCTATAGCAAATTTAAAAAATAATAATAAAATTAATTCTTTTTTAAAAATACCATTATTTGCATTTTACAGATAGGAAGTCTCAAGAACTTAATTAAGCAACTTCCTAAGATGACTTATTGCTAAGTGACAATGCTTAGCACTGCTCTCCTTAAATCAATTCTACCACTCTTACTCTTACTCTGGGATATGTTTTAACTAAGGAAAACACACTGTTTCATAAAGGAAAACAAGCACAAATTCTCTTAAATCCAAAACAAAAGTGACTCCATTGAAGCTTCATCTAATGGGGCCAGTAGGGGGTGTCGTGGTTAGGGTGCTGGACTTTCACATGGCCAACCATGGTTGGAGTCCTGGAACTAGAGGCTTGTTTTCTTTCTCTCTCTCTGTGGTGAGCATCTATACCGTACGGCAAATTAAGTAATAATAAAAATAATGAATAAAATTCAAATCTTTTTTTTAAAGTTCCATCTAACAGCCATTTCTTGCAGAAAAATTACAAATGCAATTTAAGAATAGAACACAACTCTACTTCCAGCCCCAATAAAAACATAAAGAAAATTAACTGCCCTTGACCTACTTCCTGTAGAGTTCCTGACAGCGCTCTACTGTGGTGTTACAAATGAGCTCTTCCATCCAGGTCTTCCACTGCTCAATCCGATGTTTCTGAAATATGGCCTTTGGATACTGCAGAGCTACAGTTGCGTAGTGATGCAGCTGCTCCAGGCAGCCACGCAGCACAGAGCGCCTCTGCTGCAGAAGAGCACCAACCTCCCCCTCCAGCTGCTCGCACTGGCTAATCAAGTGGGCCTGGCCAGCATTCTGCAGAAAGGCTGTCGCTGGCACATAGCTTGGGGGACCTTTTGGTAAAAGACAATAACAATCACAGTGAAACGATTTCAAGACCACAGTCACTGAAAAGAAGCACAAAGCTGAACCACACACACAGATGCACAACTACAAACTCATATGCTTACATTTGGACAAGTCAATCTATACATACCAAGGTCCATTTGTGTGCTTATCTCCTGAAGCAAACTTGCAAGCTGTGTTGCTTCTAAGTTATTGAATGCAGCCTGGTAATGTGTTATCCACTGTTCAAATTCATTCAGCTTCACCTGGATTGCTTCTTGAACAGCTCTCTGCTGAGTCTGTAGTTGAGTATGTTCAGAATACCTAAAAAAATTAAATTTAGAAATTTTAAAAATAAAAAGTTACAGCAAAAAGGTCAGATCACCTGCTGCTCTTTTTTCCTACATACCTTCATAACCTGGACTTTATTCAAATACTTGTACTGCCTATTAAGGTACTTTTCATTCTGAGGACCCTACTCAAGTGTCCCTTACCTTTCATTTTCCTGACCCCGTAATTTCTTCAACTACGCTCACAACATTTTAAATAAAACTCTACCATATCTGCCAAGTTTTGGGTACCTTAAAGGTTAAAGACTGATCCTGGACAGATCTTTGTCAAGCCTTGTGGGAGGCTGCACACCAGCAAGTCTGCCGAGGCCATTTTCATGAATATCTTACTATTGCCATCTTAGGAGGCCCTTACGTTTTGGTTTCTCAGAGAGCAAACAATTACACAATACCAAAGGTCACAATTGGCTCCCCTTCAAAACCTCACCTTCAAAACCATACTCTGATTGGCCACTTCCAATTGGTGAGCATAGAATCCCTCAGATTTGCATATCCGGCACCTTATCATTGGTCCACTAAAGCAACCAATCATAACCCACCTTTTACAATCCTTCATTTACATATAGAACAACCAATCACCACCCAACAACATGTATATAACCACAATCCCTGGCCCACAATAAACAGACGACCCTGAAGAGTTGTAACACTGTGTCGTCCCCATGCTGTAACATTGTGTCATTCGTCCAGTCTCTCACTCCTTCCCTCAGGAAACCTGTTCAACTGTCCTGCGGGTTGGGACAAAGCCTCATGAAATAAATGCTTAGCACCTGCATATTCAAACTATCCTCTACTGAGAACTGGCTATATGTTAAAAGTTCACTCACTGGGGACCAGCAGATGGCATAATGGTTACGTCGCTGGACTCCCACATAGTTGACTGTGGTTTGAATCCCAGACCCAATGACTTCAAAACTCACGCCAGGTGCATGTGCATGGATGCCTAAGTCCCCAAGAGGGAAACGGAGGAAAAGGGACTGCTACGTGACCATCCTCCCAGGGGTGATTTCTTACTTCCTGTCACTCTCTCTCTCTGTCTCTCTAGTGAGCACACATGCCCTACAAAAAAAAAAAATCTCTCAAAAAAAAAGTCCCTTCATTTAGATCATCCTACTAAATGCTTAAAATCTCAATGAAGAAGACACCTTAACTGCAGCTGTGCAAATGAACAGGAATTTGGACACAACTGAAAGGAAAAAAATAAAACCAGGTTTTCTAAATCCAAGTTCAGTATTCTAGCCACTATACATACTCACAAAATTAGTCAAACATACAAATTAAATAGAGAAAACTGTTTATGTGAATCATTGTTTAGTAACAGTTTGAAATGACAGTCCTTGAGAAAGCTTTGATCATTTGAGTTGTTATAATAATTATAATCAAAATTGACAGAAATATGAAAAATCTCCTTAATGGCATATATTTAGAAACAAACAAAAAAAAATCTGTTGTAAAACTACCTATGTTGCAGAGTATGAGAAGGATGATCCACTCCTTCTGCTCCTTCTAGAAATTCTATCTCCTCCAGCAGTTTGCCTTGAAGTTTTTCCACATCTGTCAGTTGCTCTTGCAAACTCAAGTATTCATCTAAGCTGGTATCCAGCTTGGGAAGCACAACCAGCATCTCATCCCTGTTCTTAAACCAGTTCACCTGTAAAAAGTTATCATGATTAAGAATATTCTTGGAGACAGCAGGTGACATAGTGGTTAAAGTGCTGGACTCCCACATGTCCAACCACAATTCGAGTCTCGGACCTGGCAGCTTGCTGTCTCATTTTCCCTCTTTCTGTTTCTCACTGTCCCTCCCTGGTCAAATTAAAATAAATAAAGTTAAATAAAATAATTTTAAAATAGGAAGAAGGCTCGTGTTAAAAGGACATTTTATACATATTCTATTTAAATCTCAGTATCTGTGGATCATCAGATGGCAAATGGTTACATCGCTGGACTCCCACACAGTCAACCACAGTTACGGTTTGAATACTGGTCCCGGCAGCTTATAACTCATGCAGGGCGCATGTGCATGCATGCCTAAAATCCTGAGAGGAAAACAGAGGAGAAGGGATTGCACCATGGCCATCTCCTCTGGGGGGTGATTTCTCTGTCTCTCCGGCAAGCACATGCACCATAAAGCAAAAAAAAAAAAAAAAAAAAAACACAAAACACTATCAACCCCATTGACAAAGATAACTTCTGAGTCCAAGTTCATATAGCCATACACTGACAGACTCAATTTCATGTTACCAGTACACAACACAGAACAAGATTAGCATTACTAGCTACTAGATAAGAGGGGAGACTATCCAATTAAAGAACATTTATAACCATCATTATAAAGACATTTTGATGTATTTTGAAACTTAGAATTTTTCCAAATCAATACCCACTTCTTGAGAGTTATGTTTAACTGTGTGTCTCTGTGTGGGAGCACTGCCTAAAAACAGATGGGGCGTCAGACTGCCCTATCACTGCCATTTCAACACTCTATACTAGTTTTGCCAAAATAAAACAACACACACACACAACTTAGAGAACAGTTTATCTAACTTTTTTATCAATATGTTTATTCTATTAACAAAAAGACAACAGTGACTAATCGCATCATCGAACTTTACCTTAATTTCAGCTACTCTGGAAGAAAAGAGGCTACGAGTAATCTCTCGCTCCATTTCTCTCTTGCTCTGCTTGCTCTCAGCCTGCTGGCCACCTCCACCATAGACAGCACCAGCAAACCCTGCCTCGCCTCCAGCTGTCCAGTCCACCAGGGGGTCATACACAAAGGCCTCCAGCAATGTCAACAGAGTCTCTCTGCCACGTCGCATGATATGCAGAACCTATTTTCAGAAGAGTTTTAATTAAGTTTTTCTTTAAGTTTTTCTCATTAAAGTGATTTTTTTTTCATTCCACAGGTTTTGTTCAGTTAATAGGCACACTAACAGTCAGAAGGGGAAAAAAAAAAAAAAAACAGCATACCTGCTCACCGCAAAGCCTAAAAACACCTTCTACTCCAGTTACACCCAATGCTGTTTCAATGTTTTGTGTCATTCGAAAAGGTACTTTCTCAGGAACTCTAAGGCTTTTACCTTGAAAAGAGAGATTGTTATATTTTTGTACTTTTACCAAAAACATTTGACCCTCACATAAATGAAAGAGTTCACTGACATTTTACCTTTTTCAAAGCAAACATTGTAATCTATGTGAACAACTTCTCCGGTCGTCATATCTATGAGAACATTATCCAGATGTCTATCTCCAAGGCCAATTATGTATCCAACCATAGACATGACTGCAGTAGATCTGGCATAAGACTAAGGAAGAGGCAGTGAGGAGAACAAGTTAATAAGTACCTATAACAAATTTCTCTCCAACATAGTCTTAATGTTTAAAAATTCATGAAATTCCATGATCCCACCCCCTTATTTTAAAATATATAAATAAAAAGTGCTCCATGGCCTTGCTGCATGTGCTCACACAGGCTCTGCTGGAGCAGGTGTATACATCGCTTTTGTTCTAGTTATTCGTTAGCCCAACACTGGACTTTAGAAAAACAACTTTTGGGAATCAGCAGATGGCATAATGGTTATGTCGCTAGACTCCCACATAGCTGACTATGGTTCGAGTCCTGGACCCAACAGCTTAAAACTCACGTTGGGCATGCATGCATGCAAACACAAAATCCCAAGAGAAGGGATTGCGGTGTGGCCATCCCCCCAGGGGGTGATTTCTTGCTTTCTGTCTGTCTCTGGCTGTCTCTCCGGCAAACCCACACACCCTATAGCAAAAATCTCTCTAAAGAAAAAAAGAAAAACAACTTTTGTTTAGTTTCCCTCATTTTCCCCTTGCTAAAAAGTTTTCATTCTCCTTTCCATTTCCTCTATGGCTCGTTCCCATCTTGCCTCAGACAAAGTCAAAGTCACACCTTTATAATTGCAATGTAAGATTCAAGGATCGGTCAGTGGGACAGTAGTTAAGGCAGTTGGACCCCATATGGGCAACCGCAATGTTTGAGTTTCAAACCTAGGGGGGCTTGAAAAACACACTGGGCACATGTGCATGAGTGCCCAAAATCCCAAGAAGAGAATGGAGGAGATGAGACTGTAGCATGGCCATCACCCTCGAGGGTGATTTCTCACTTTCTCTCTATCTCCAAGAAGCACACGCACCCTGCAGCAAAAAGAAAACAAACAAACGAAAAAAAAGATTCAGGTTCTGGGCCCAAAACTACAAAAGCTGGAGAGATGAAGAAAGGAGGACAAACAAGAAAGACAAGGAGGTAGCACATAAAAGAAATTATCTTGACTACAATCCAAAAGGACAGTATAGCCAGGTGACATCACAGTTATGGAAGCTATATATATCCCATGTGGCCAACTGCGCAGTTCCAGTTCTGGACCCCATAGCTTGAAAAAATGCAAGGCATATGAGTATGCATGCCCAAAATCCCGAGAGGAGAAGAAACTGTGGTATGCCCTTCCCCTCTGGAGGATGATTTCTCTCCCTCTCTCCAACAAGGGTATCCATCCTATAGCAAATTTTTTAAAATAAATAAAAAATACAATACTAAAAATGGAACAAAGGACATACCTGTGTAACTCTCCACCACTCATCAGGTGTTGTACAAGATGACCACAGCTCTTTAGCAAGGAGATTTGGGGGTGTGGCCTCCATCAATTCTTCTAACACTGCCTTCATTACATGAAGAGGCCAGTCCCGGCGGGACACATCCAGGCTAAGCCCAACTGTTTTCAAAGCAGGGCCAATTTTACTATAATAAAGCTCGCTAGGACGGGGCACAATTCCAGGATTCTGAGGAGTCTGGTAGGAATCTTGCGCCTTTAAAAAAAATATTTTTTAAAGAAAGAAAGATCAACTTTATTTTATTTAAGGACAGATATTATTTTGAATTTATTTCAACTAGCAATTATTGTACCTTGGATAAACCTCACTGGATAGAAAGCAGTATTTTAAAAACTGTGTTTTCAGTAGTATTATCTACTTATCCAGCTCAATTTCATGCACAAAATAGCCAATTCTACTGGACAATGTTATCTGATAATGTGCATTCTTTCTTCTAATTAGGCACTACTACTTCATTGAAAACTTGGTCTAGGCCCAGACATGGTGGGGAAAAAAGGAGGACACTGCTATGCTAGGTTGGACCACTGGGAGGTTCAGATCTTGGACTATGCCAGGCACAGTGGCACTCACCTGTGATCCCAGCTGAGAGGCTGAGGCAAATGACCCCAAAATAATTCATAATTCATTTATGGACACTTTTAATTTTTTTAGCAATATGACTTAATCATCAATATATCAATCAAATTAACAGCTACTCAGAAATACAATACATAAAGATTAGAAAGCCCTTCTCTAATTCCAATCTTTAATTTAACCTTCACTATCTGTATGTACTACAGTCTCCTATGCCAGCTTTTAAAACCTAGCTTTTTTTTTTTTCAATCGCTTGTCTCCTTGTATTCCTAATTGGGTTGATATTTTGTTTTGTTTTTAAAGCTAGAATGGGGATCCTGAAGTTAAGATCAAATCATATGCATCTTAGTATCTTTGCGCTTTGGGACCAACAGTTGGTACAATGGCTATGTCGCTGGACTCCCATGTAAGTTGACCACAGTTAGAGTCCTAGACCCAATGGCTTAAACTCACGCAGGCACATGTGCGTGTGTGCCCAAGATCCCAGGAGGAGAAAGAAGGAGAAGGGACTGCAGTGTGGCCAACCCCCCTGGAAGGAGATTTTTGCTTTCTGTCTCTCTGGTGAGTGCATGCCCCCTATAGTCAAAAAAAAAAAAATCTTTGTGCTTAGGCCAGTCCCTGGACTCGCACATGGCCGACCATGGTTCTAGTCCCATACATGATGGTTTGCTTTCTCACTTTCTCTCTCTCTCTGCCCAAACTAGAAAATAATAATAATAAAGTTAAATAAAAATAATTCTTTAAAAAAAAAATAAAGGAAAAGAAAAAAAAATACATCACAACTTTTCCGACAACCCAAAATGATCCCACAGTGATGAATTCTAAAGACTAAATAAATATATTTCACGTAACAGAGCATGGGCTAAAATACACACTTAAAAGTACACATATATCTTAATTTTAATCAACCTTCTGTGCCTGTAAGGCAGCTTCCCGTTGTTGCCATCGTTTGTAAAGACCAAACAAGGGTGTGGCTCCATCTACCCACTGGATTAGTCCTGATCGTGTTCCTAGTGGTGTCACAGAATAGTGCCGAGCATGGAAACGGGGTGTTTCCTGGCGATTAATTGTAGCAAACATGGTATTCACAATAGATAGGAACTGCATTATTCTCTCATCCAGATGTAAATCCTCCAGTCCTAGGGGAAAAAAAATTAAATTAGCCAGGGTAGGTAGGGAGCCAAACAGGGCTGGGTGCACACCATTTTTCTGTCTTTTTTGTATAGCAGAACCACAATGAGGCACACTGGAAAGCATTAGAGAACTCTAGTCAGTGACAAAATACAAACACAGCTAACAGTTCTGCTTACACACATTCATATGCTGGAGGTTGGGGGCGGGCTGTGTGGTAAAGGTTAGAAAATCTTTTTTTTATCTTAAGGATTTGTCATAGGGTACATACACTCATGAGAGAGAGACAGTGAGAGGGCAAGTGAGAATCACCTCACCCTGGAGGACAGCGATGCCACAATTCCTTCTCATCCACTCCCTTTGGGATTTGGGGCATGCACACACATGCGCCTGGCATAATTTTCAAGCCACCAGGTCCAGGACTTGAACCATGGTCGGCCATGTGGTAGTCCAACACTGTAACCACCACACCACCTACTTGACCCAAGGGTAGAAAATCTTTCAAAAATAATCATACAGGATACTCCTGGACATTAATGATATAACAAGAATGTCCCAAAACAATGCTCTCCTATCACACATACAAACCAACATTAATAATAAAGCTAATGCTCTTAAAAAAAGGAGAATTTTTGAATCCTACCTTTGAAAAGGTAAGGATAGCTCTTCCCATCTGATCCTAGGAAGAGAAGTTTCTTTGGCTTGGTTTTAGTCGGTAAGATTGTGATGGTTCCACCCACACTGTGGATTGTGACAGTGTCTCTGGCTGAGACTTCCCCAGGAAGAGCAATTTCAGTGTTGGTCATGGCAGCCAACCACGGACTGATTTCTTCAAGACGCAAGATATAGCTTGCACGTTTCTGTGCTCTCTGTTGCAAACTCAGCATTATCTATATTCATAAGATAAGAAAACAAGCTGACATTATAATTAGGACCCTTACTTCCTTACACATTCAACTTGACAAGAAAGTAAATGTAAAAAATCCAAATATAGTTCGTACATTAAATTCAGTGTTAGGTTTGTGGGCCATCCTGGGAGGGGAAATACTAGAATACTGATAAACCCTAGGTGATTTTTACTTTGTTATGATCCTTCTTTCTGTCCAAACAAGTAATGAAATGACAAGAGATAGAAGGAAATCACTGTTGTGAGCACCAAATTCATAAATTTTAGCAAATTCACCTCTCACTGTTGAAATATGTCTGAACGATGCCAAAACAAAGCAATTCAGTTCTTGCAATAATAAAGCAAAAGATACAGCCAGCAGTTGGCTGTCAGGCAGACACACTTAGGAAGCCACTTAAAAAACTATTAACATTAAATTATTGGGTAGTCAGAAGAGTTATGATGCATTTTTTGCTATATAGTGTGTGCACTCGCAAGAGAGACAGAGAGAAAGAGAGACAGAAAGTTAGAAATCACAGCCAGAGGGATGGCCAGACTGCAATCCCTTCTGCTTCATTCTCTTCTTGGGATTTCGGGCACGTACGCACATAAACCCGGTGTGAGTTTTAAAATCATCAGGTTTGGGACTCGAACCACGGTCAACTACATGGGAGTCCGGCAACGTAACCATCACACCATCTGCTGGTCCCATCGTGACACATTTTTGCATAGAAAAAAATAGAGACTTTTCCAATAAACCAATATAAGAAAAATGTGGCTCAATCTCTTTATCACATGAGAGGAGAAGAAATGATGTGAACTTCAAAGCTATAATCAGAGAAAAGACCAAAAAGTAACATTTTTAAAAGAGTTAGAGCTCTGACCAATTTAAGTATGCAGAAAAACACAATGCCTTCTAATAATCACAGAGAATGGACTGCAAGCACTGTTGTCTCCCTAGTTACTAATTCAATAATCTATACAAGAATTGATGAGCTCTGGGTCTCTGCTGTCATGTGAAACTTTTTAAAGCAATTTTGACAAAGTTTGATCAAAAAAAGAAAAGTATAATTAGAAACACTCCAACTAACCACTGACAGATAGATTATAGTATTTGCACATAACAGATTCTTGTTTGGCTATACATAAAACATAAAGCAGTCATTTTAAAAACCTAATACTGGGAACCAGCAGTTAGCGTAATGGCTATGTCGCTGGACTCCCACGTAGTCGACCCCGGTTCACGTCCCGGACCCGGTGGCTTAAAACTCACGCCAGGCGTGTATGCGTGCGTGCCCAAGATCCCGAGAGGAGAATGGAGGAGAAGGGACTGCGGCGTGACTATCCCCCCTGGGGGGTGATTTCTTGCTTTCTGTCTCTATGTCTCTCTCTGTCTGTCTGGCGAGTGCAAGCACCCTAGTGAAAAACCTCTCCAAAAAAAAAATAAAACCAAAAATCCAATACTGATTTTTTAAAAAATGGAAGTAGTGAAAACACACACACACACACAGACACTAACACACAATATGATCCCATTCAAATGAAGCTCAAAAAAGGTAAGAAACCAAACAGTAAATCATTTAGAAATACATGTATCGTCAAAAAGTACTTTTTAAAAAGAAGGTAATGGGGCTGGCCCCAGAGCCAAGGAATTAAAGCAACTAGATCCCACATTACTGATCACAGTGTGAATCCAATTTAAGTATGCAGAAAAACGGGACCAGCAGTTAGCGTAATGGTTATGTCGCTGGACTCCCATGTAGTCGACCGCGGTTCGAGTCCCGGACCCAGTGGCTTAAAACACGCCGGGTGTGTGTGCGTGCCCAAGATCCCAAGAAGAGAATGGATTGTGGAGTGGCCATTCCCTCGGGGGGTTATTTCTCGCTTTCTGTCTCTCTGTCTGGCGAGCACATGCGCCCTATAGCAAAAACCTCTCCAAAAAAAAGAAAAACACAATACCTTCTAATAATCACAGAGAATGGACTGCATGCACAGTTGTGCAAACAAAATGGTTTGACAAACAAAATGTGTGCTTAAAATCCCAAGAAGATGTAACAATGAAAGAGAAGAATTGTAGGATGTCCACATCCACCTGGGAGGTGCTTTTTTCCCCCTTTTTGGTGAGTGCACATGTGCTCCAACAATTAAAAAAAAAAGAAAAAAAAGGAAAAGTAGGTAATGATTAATTCAAAACAGTACTTTTAGGGAGTCAAATATAGCTAGGCAGAGATAAATGAGACTTTTATAAAGTTCTATTTCTTCCTTTAAAAAAAAAAAAAGAGAAAGAGAGAGATTTTGCAAGTGTACTTGCCAGAGAAAGATAAAGAGAGAGAAAGTGAGAGATCACCTTTGAGGAGGGATGGCCATACCACTATCTGTTCTCCTCCATTCTGCTCAGGATTCTGGGCACTCACGCGTGTTCCTGCCATGAGTTTCAAGCCACCAGGTCTGGGTGGGCCTCAAACCACAGTCAGCCATGTGGGAGTCTAGTATTTTAACCACTACCCTCACTACCCTACCAGCTGGCCTCAAAGTTCTATTTCTCTAGTTAATTTTTTTATTTGAGCTGCTAAAATCTGAAGGTCTTCTTTTTAATTTTTGAAAGTATCCTTTTCTTTTTTTTTTTTTTTGAGAGGTTTTTGCTATAGTGCTCACCAGAAAGAGACAGAAAGTGAGAAATCCACCCCCCCGGGGAGATGGCACACCACAATCCTTTCTCTTGGGATCTTGGGCACACACACACACACACACACACACACACACGGCGTTTGAGTTTAAGCCACCAGGAAATCTGGGACTTGAACTGCGGTCGACTACATTGGAGTCCAATGACATAGCCATGACGCCAGCTGCTGGTCCCAATTTTTTAAAAATTATCTTTTATAAAGTACTACCATTAAAAAATTTCTCAATGATTTACTTCTCAATGATTTACTTCACATACTCACGTTTTAAAAAGTATTTTTCCTGTCCTGTCCTCTAAGTTTCTTACTTACTGAGAGGAAGATAAAGCAGTTAGAACCCAGGAGCTGAAAAGCTATTGTAGTAACACAAATGGACTCACATGGGGAAAGTTCTGGGTCTGTGACACTGTACACCTCACTGAGCACGTCCACACTGCAGTGGTCTGTGATCTTTGCCATCTGAGACTGGGGGTAAAAGGCAGTATGGGAACCCTACTGCGGGTGCCTGTATCTTTGCCCGTCTGTCTGTCTATGTCTGTCTCATGGAAGAAATACATGAAATAACTTTATTTTTAAAGTCACAAAAAAGGAACCAGCAGAATGTGCAATTGTTACGTCACTGGACTCCCATGTAGTCAACCATGGTTCAAGTCCTGGACCTGGTGGCTAAAGACTCACACTGGGTATGTGTGGGTGTGTAGCCAAAATCCCAAGAAGAGAATGGAGAAGGGATTCCATTGTAGCCATTGCCCCTAGGTGGTGGTGGTGGTAGGGGGGGTTGGAGGTTGGAATATTTCTTGCTTTCTGTCTTTCTGGTAAGGGCATATGCCCCTATAGCAAAAATCACTCTAAAGAAAAAAAAAAAAAGAAGTCTCAAAGTAATAAAGAGGCTCTGCCAACGGATGATGCTTTGCTATAAAAGACAAAGACCGAAGAGAATATATATAGAATTTAAGAGACCAAAACATAATAGATAAGAGTTCTCAAATACCTAAAAACACTAATCATCCTAAGTACCACACAACAAACTTAGTTCAAAACAATTACTTATGAAGATAATGTTGTTGGGTCAGCTCTATAGTGCGGGGTAGGAGCCAGATCCCATATTGCCAACTGAGGTTTAAATTCTGGCCCTGGAAGCTTGAAACACATACTAGGCAAGTGTGCACGCATGCCCAAAATCCCAAAAAGATGGAGAAATTGAAGAAAAAAGGATTGTGATGTGACCACGCCATACCAAGGGGTGCTTTCTATCTCTAATAGCATACTTGACCCTCCAGCAATAAAAAAAAAGGGCAATACTGAATTTTCATCTCAAGAAAAACTATATGCAGGGGCCAGCAAGTGGCATACTGGCTAAAGATGCTGGACTCCTACATGGCTGACCATGGTTCAAGTCTCGGACCTGGTGGCTTGCTTTCTCACTTCCTCTCTCTCTCTCTCTGTCTCTCTCTGATCAAACTGGAAAATAATAATGATAATAAATAAATAAAGTTAAATAAAATAATTAGAAAAAAAAGAAAAACTATATGCACACAAGATTAAATTTATCTTTTCTGAAGATAATAGAGCAGGCTACAAATATAGCTCCAGGTCAGAACCCCTCCCTTGGCTAATTTTTTCCGGTACATTCTTCTGTGGGATGAACCCACCATACATGAAAGAACAGGTGCCTTTGCCAACTCTTCTTACCAGCACTCAAATTCTCAATCAATCAATCAATCAATCAATCAATCAATGTCATGTGTTTCAATTAAATAGTCTACTTATTTAGACTTTGCACCTCAGAAGAAATCTTCCCTTTTATTTGCATTCTTGAGATTTTGTACCTCTTTAAATGGAATCCAACTGCTTCCAGGCTTTGCAGGGTTTGATGGGGTCTTCAGTTTTTCTAGAGCATTTTCAATCGCATCACCATAATTATCCTGAAACCACTTCTCGTGAGGCGTTTCTGCAGGGGCTGCTGTGATACTCCTTACATGTTCCAAAGCAAACACGATGGGCTTCATCAGCGCCGTGTGTTTTTCCCGCATGATTGCAATTTTCTCTTCTCTGATCAGGAAGATATTTTTACTCAAAACCTTATTATAGATTCAGATTCTACACAAACCCAGAACAACATAAATTTATCAAGTGCAAATAAATAGCTCAAAGAATAAATCTAAATAAGGTAATAACATATTAGCAAAGTAACCTAACAGCACTGTTTCTAAAAACCTAACACATAAAAGAGCAGCCTCTCTTTTCAATAAAAGTTGCAGGGAAAATGGGAGATGCCAAGCAGAAGAATGAAGTTGGGCCTTATCTTAAACCATATGCAAAAAAAAAAAAAAAAAAATAACCCAAAACGGATCAAAGACCCAAACTCAAGAACTAACACTGTATCTTAGAAGAAAACACAGGGACAGGCTCCATGAAAACAAGATTTGGGAATGATTGCCTGGACATGGCACCAGAAGCACAGTATCAAAAAGAAAAGAAAAACTAAACTGAATTACACCCAAATTACAAAGTTTCTACCTTTTTCTTTTTTTGAGAGGTTTTTGCTATAAAGAGCATGTCCTCACCAGAGGAGACAGAGACAGAAAGAGAGATAGAAAGCAAGAAATCATCCCCCAAGGGAGATGGCCACACCGCAATCCTTTCTCCTCCATTCTCCTCTCAGGATCTTGGGCACACATGCACACGTACCCCGCATGAGTTTAAGCCACCGAGTCCTGGACTCGAACCGCGGTCGACTACATGGGAGTCCAGCGACATAGCCATTACGCAAACTGCTGGACTCCCAAAAAGTTTCTACTTTTTAAAGAGAAGATCCCGCCATGCCTTGATCCTCCTGCTTCCACCTCTCAGCTATGTCTAGAAGACATGCATCACCATGTCCAGCTCTTTTCTAGACAGTCTCATGATGTGAGACAGGTCAACCTGAAGCTTTCAATGCTCTTGCTTCAGCCTCCCAAGTCACTGGGATTACAGGTGCACACCACCATGTCTGGCCTCTACACAGGACCAAGAATCTAACCTGAGCTTCTCATGTGGTCCCAGCCTGCAGAGCACAACCAGCACCACCATGTCTGGGTCAAAAATTAAAAACTTCTGTGCACCAGGAGATACTATCAAGAAAGTAAAAGACAACCCACAGCACAATAAATAATATTTGCAAATCATGTATCTGGTTAATATCCATTATATATAAATAATTCCTACATGGGAGCAGCAGTTAGTGTAATGGCTATGTCGCTGGACTCCCATGTGGTTAGACCACAGTTCAAGTCCCGGGCCTGGTAGCTTAAACTCACGCTAAGCGCCTGTACATGCGTTCCCAAGATCCGGAGAGGAGAAGGGATTGTGGAGTGGCCATCTCCCCTGGGGCGTGATTTCTCACTTTCTGTCCGTCTGTCTGTCTGGTGAGTGCACATGCCCTATAGCAAAACTAGAAATAAAATTAAATAAAAGAAAAAAAAATAATTCCTACAACTCAACAATAAACAGCCCAATTCAAAAAAGGGTCAAGAATTTGAAATGAAGACCAGTCTCACAGCATAGCAACTAATCACTGTGCAAAGGAAGCTAGATACCACATGCCCAATGGGGTTCAAAACCCAGCCCCAGTAGCAACATGTCAGACATGAATGTGTTCAGGATCCTGATGAGATGGAGAACCAGAACAAGGATTGTAGTGCAACCAAGCCCTGTTGTACGGATGCTTTTCCTCCCTCTCTGTGTCTTTGGAAGGCAGGAAAGGGTTCTTGCTCTCTCTCATGCGCACACATGTACTTTTCTTATCAGGAACAATGAAAAATTTAAAAATAAAACAAGGACTTGAATTGACATTCTCCAAAGATAACCAAATGGCTGATAAGCTCATGAAAATAAGTTCAACTTCATCAATCATGAGGGAAATGCAAATCAAAACCACATGAGATACCTAACCTTACACCCATCAGGATAGCCATTACACAAAAGAGAAATAAACAAGTATTGACAAGCATAAGGAGAAGCGGAAACCCTCACTAACTTGGTGGGAATGTAAAATGTGCAGCTACTATGGAAACAGTTTTTGGGTTCCTAAACCAAGTAAACATAGAACTGCCAGATGATTCAGAAAATATACTGTATTATACAAATACTCACAAAATACACACAAAATAACTGAAATCAAGGATTCAAATAGAGATTTCTACACCAGTGTTCAGAGCACCACAATCACACAGCCACAATGCAGAAGTAAATGTTCATTGACAGATAAATGACAAAAGCATAGTATAAACAATGAAATATTACTATCATTATTATTATTAATTTCTAGACGATTTATGTGCTTATTGAAGAGACGGAGAAAAGGCAAGAGAGGTAAAGTGAGAAAGCACCCCCCCCCCCATAGGGGATAGTTACGCAGCAATCCCTTCTCCTCTTCTCTTATCGGCATTTTGGGCACACACGCACACATGCCCAGTGTGTGGACTCAAGCTGCTGAGTCCAGGACTGTAACAGCACAGTCGACCATGTGGGATTCACCTACCTTAACCACCACACCAGCAGCTAATCCTACAATTAAATATTAAGCCATAACAAGGAGTAAATTCTAGGGGCTAGCAGATGGCATGATGGTTGGAGTGCTGGATTCCTACGTGGCTGACCACAGTTCGAGTCCCAGACCTGATGGTTTGCTTTCTCACTCTCTCACTCTCTTTCTCTGTCTCTCTCACTCTCTTTCTCTGTCTCTCTCTGGCCCTCTCTGATGAGTGCATGTGCCCTACAGAAAATTTTAAAAAATAGTAATAGCAATACATTTTTAAAAAGAAATGAAATTCTAATACACGCTACAACACAGATATCCCTGAAAAGCATCTTAGGTGCTAAGTGAAAGTCAGACACAAAAGGATGAATAATGTATGATCCCACTCATATGAGGTACCTAAAATAACCAATTCATAGAGACAGAAAGTAGAATAAAAGTAACCAGAATGCAAAGTTAAGAGGAAAAGTGAGTCACTGTTTACCAAGTTAAGAGCTTGTTTGAAATAATAAACAAGCAATGGAGATGAATAGGGGTGATAGTTGCACAATGTTGTGAATTCACTTAATGCCACTTAAAAATGGTTAGAGTAATAAATTTAATGTTATATAGATTTCACCACATTAAGAAAAAGGAGGCAGCCTCTGTACCAAAGCATATGAAAACATACTTGCGTAAGGTGTTGTTGTTCTGAACTCTCTTCACTTCATCTTCAAGCTGCTGAATCCGTCTCAGAACATACATGTGCTGCTGTAGCAGAACTCCCAGCCACAGCTCATCCCAGAGCACAGTGACCCTGCGCAGCTCCGCCACCAGCATCTGAACCTGCACACATGGCACATCCAAAGAGCTCATGTACGAGTCAGTGCCCAACCCAGTTCTTCACACACTGGACATCAGGAGTTAAAGGTGCATTTCTTGCTCATTATATGACTAGGGAACGCTAATTACTGAGTCGATTAAATGCAGATTGGTAAAATTAGTTTTGATTAGCTTTGTTACTCAATATTAATAACAATATCATTCCATGATGGTTTTGATGGGTTTTGTGTCCAGGGTTTTTTTTAGGGGACTTGCTTAATAAAAATTGCTTTAAAATACATGAGTTTGTTTTCTTTATACCTGTAATACCATAGTTGGGTTTGCAGAGGACAACTTATCTACAATTTTGCTGTAACAATCCTGCATCATGGCTTGGTCTTCATTTAATCCACTTTTAGGTTCATCCTTATTGCTATCCTGAGAAGCGGTAGGACTTCCTCCCTCACATTCAGAGACCAGCAATTCTTCGCCTTGAATATTGCCAAGTAAAGTTGGAATTGCAGAGGAAAATTTATTTCCTATAATCAAATGAGGGTAAGAAATACTTTGAATGTTTCTCCCACATGCTTTTATTTATTTATTTACTTATTTCATTTTATTATTATTTTTTAATTTTGCTATAGGATACACACGCTCACTAGAGAGAGAGAGAGAGACAGAGAGAGAGAGAGAAAGCTGCTGGGTCCAGGACTTGAACTATGGTCAGCCATGTGAGAGTCCAGCACTTTAACCACAACACCTGCTGGCCCCCAACTCCCAACTGCTTTTACCAAGCCAGGGAAAACATCAATATCTACTCAACTCCAGAGAACTCATTTAACTAATGCGTCTTCTGTGCAATAAAATGACTAAAGGTTGTGGATATTCTCCTTTACACTGGTTGAGTTTTCACATTTACTAGTTTTTTTTTTCCCCCAAGAATTATTTTACGTTTTTTTTTTTTTTTTTTTTTTTTTTTAATTTGTCCTCAGAAAGACAGACAGAAACAGGGAAAGTGAGAAACCAAGCCACCAGATTCGGGACTTGAATTGCAGTTGGCCACGTAGGAGTTCAGTACCTTTAACCACCACGCCACCTGCCAACCCTATTTATTAGTATTATCAGTTAATAGAAACTCAATATTGGGGAAGATAATGAATAGCTCTCTAACAAATGTGTTCCCCCAGCAAGGGTCCAGAACTTGATTGAAATCTCATCTACCAGTTATATCTCAGTAAACCTGAGAGAGTTATTCTACTTTTCCATGCCTTGGTAGTTACTGTAGGAAGTGAAGATAATGTACAAAATACATATCCTAGTGCCAGATACATAGTAGTTACTTCCTCAGTGATGACTGCAACTACTGAAGAAAACTACAAACTTTACCAACTCTAAAACATGAAGCTCAAAAATGTGATCCAACAAAAATTATTAGCAAAATAATTTGTAATTAAGAGAGCAGTATTTCAGGATTCCATACCTGAAGCCTGGGATTCACTACTAAGTGATATGGTACCCACTATTGCAGGATACAGGATGAGATGCGGAGAATCTTGAGCCACACGGCAGAGGAGGTTACAAATACTCTGGCGCACATATACTTCAGGGTGGTTTAAGCGTGAGAAGAGCTGTGGAATAATTCCTTCAGGATAAGAAAGAAAGATATTTTCAAGTTATGAAAAACTGTCAGGATGGTGGATGGGAAAGGATAAAACCTGGCACACGTCAGCATTAACACAGATTTTAAGGGTTTTGACTTTCTCCCTGAGATAACAAAAAACTATACACAATAGTTCTTGATTTCCTGATTTAATCAGGTTACAGAGCTATAATCGAAGTCCACAAAAACAACTCAAAATGTTCTCAAGAAATATTCTTTCTGTGAATGCCCACAAGGAAAGAAGATAAATGATATACAAAATCTTTTGGAACATATTTTCACCTCCCTCTTCAAAGCCCATTTTGTAAATAAAAAATTCCTCTTGGGGACCAGCAGGTGGCCTGGTGGTTAAGGTGCTGGACACTCCCACATGGCTGACCATGGTTCAAGTCCTGGACCTGGTAGCTTGCGCTCGCGCTCGCTCGTTCTCCTGCGCGCTCTCTCTCTCTGATCAAATTAAAATAAATGAATGAATAAATAAAATAAATAAAGTTAAATAATTCTTTAAAAAAAAAAAAAGTTCCTCTTGGCTTCCAACCTGTTTCCTTGAAAGGTAGGAGGGAACACCTTAGTGGTATAACAAGACGACCAGGGTATCCTGTGAACAAAGTGGCTTTTCTCTAGCCCAAATAATAAACATTAAGGACCTACTATTTTTTTTTGTTGTTTTATCTATCCCCTCTGCAGAAGTAATTTTTTTCTGAAATATTTTACTGGGCCATCACCTCTCCATGGAGCTGTAGGTGTTGTTTCCAAACCATGTTCCAGATACTGCCGAAGCTCACCGGCATGTTTCACAAGCAATCTGAGCAGTCGCAAGGTAGCCATCACAATCATGTCATCGGTGCTCTGTTCTGCTCTATGACTTAAATGTAGCCTAGGGTCATCCTCATCTAAAGGAATCTAAGAGTGAAAGATTAAGGGGAGAAATTAGAAAGAAACTCAGAATATCACTTTTGCTTCCTAAGAAAGAAATTCTCAATAAATTTTCTAAAAACAGAACACTGTGCTACCTACTTGACCTGCGTTGAGTTTAAGGAAAGTAAAATATGCGCTGCATGACAGTTTGTACAAGCTGAAGATTCTATCTACAACTTTCCTCCATACTTTAATAACTCCTTCAGTTGCACTTTCATCAAGTTCTGAAAGCCACGGGCAGCTTGATATTAACTGACGCCAGATAACATCAACCATGTCATCTTCTTCATTATCTTCATTCTCTGTTATCTGAAGTGTTATATCTTCATCCTGAAGAGAAATTGAGTATGATATGCTATTTTTTAAATACAAAATGAAAATAGAAGAAAGTATATGATTTAACTATCAAATCAAACTTTTTCTCATTTATGAAAAACTAAATCATTATACATTAGTGTTATATATGCTAAATGAATACCAGTAATATTTTCATTATGTATATTTACTAATGTAATAAAGGATTTAACATTTAGCAAAAATGAAAGACTTTGTTTCTTTATTATTATAAATGCTACTAAATGATAATATTCTACCTACAGAAAACTAAATATAACTATTAATAAGTCTAAAGTTGAAATGTACACACCCAACAGAGACTACCCTCTTATGGTACTATATATGTTCCCAGCACCAGCTCTAACAGAGACCTACAGATGCTCTTGTTTACAGTAAGAACTGAATCAAGGTAGCTGAGTTTGGCAAACAAATCCATGCCTTCAAGACTGCAACTGAAGACTTAATTGTTACAGCATTCTATTAATAATTGACAGAATGTTGACAGCTAAAGGAGTGAATCCCACCAAACTTCTAGTTGGCTGTTTTCAGCTCTGGCTGGCTGTTGGAACCACCTATAGCTTAAACACACATACGTACCACACCTGTTCAGAGTATCTAGGGGTAGGGTTCATGTATTGGCATATTTTAAACCTCTCAATCTGCAGTTAAGAAGCTAATTTCTAACTGGAAGAGCAATTTAAAAAGAAATTAATTAATATAAAACAAACCACCCATTTTAAACAGGACCTTAAGGAAATAACTTACTTTTCCAATAAATGATATTCTTAGAAAAATAATGTAACTCACTTCAATCTTAAAATTCAAAGTTTTTATTTGTAATAACTACCTAAACCCCATACAACATTTAATCAAGAAAATGTGATCAATTTCTTCAAAATCAATGAGTTGTTACAGGGATCCTGATACCAGCTCCCCCAAACACTATATTTCATTTTCC